ATTTCAAAGGATTAGGTGGGGACTCAGACTGGGTATTACATTGATTATAATTACTCTACCATGTTTGAGGTATGTATTACCAGTATCCGCTCGGAATGGTTGCCGGTCCATTCTGGGTTCTAATGGCCTTAGTCTGCCCACTAGAGTGTGCACATGCTGTCCTGCATTTTTATGCTGGCAGATGTTCAGGTATCAGTCAGGTGATGATTATCATGATATCAGTATCAGATCACGCTTATTCAGTACCGGTTTCAGTTCAGTTCAGTTATATATATGCCACGATCATGATATTGCAATTATTTTCACTGTTTACTTTAGTATGAGTTTCTACGGGGCACAGTGGATTAGTGCTCACGCCCCACATTATTCATGTTTTTCAGGTCAAAGGGTCGGATCCGAGGAGTGAGCTGGCAGTTGGTTCAGGATTTTGGTTATGTTTAAAATGTTTTGGCAACGCTACGTTTTTTCGCTGATTACGACTAATTGTCGAACTTAGCTTTTGATCCGATTTCCAGTCGGTTACTATATTATGATAAATCGTTTTGTTTTTCTTTAAAATTAAATAACGGTTTTTCAAGTAAAGTCATTTTTATGGTAGCACTCCGAATGAGTATTTCGCAACTTAAATGTTTTTATTTTGAAAAACTTTGCGAAAAAACGCATTTTGATTTTCATGAAATAGCGGGGTGTTACAGATGGTATCAGAGCACGTTTCTGCGTCTCTGAAAATTTTTGTGAGTCAGAAATTTTTCAAAAACCTGAACACGTCACGCTCACGCCTCGCCGACTACAGGTAAGTGTTGATTCATGTTTTTAAATTATAAACAAATTACTATGTCTATGCTCAGAAATTTCGCAGTTATGACTTATTTAAGATGCTCGAATCATGTTCAGGATTCATAGTTCAGTGTATCTATTATTTAATGTCAGTAATTCCCAGCCATGTTAAGCGTACACAAATCTTAGCAATCATGTTCCTCAGACATTTTCTATTGAAAATTGCCCATTTTGCTAACCAGTTGGCACATTCCAAGGAGAAATTCCTTGAGTTAGATCATGGAATAGACTCAAATTACCTAAGTCAGATCAGTAAATCATGTTCAAGGCTAAATTTTCATGCTAGAGATTGTTATATTTCTTAGGCCATTGTTAAAAGTAACGGTTTCCAATGTATAAGAGTCATTATTTCGGGTTACCGTGGAGGCTTAAAATAAGAGCCACTTAGCCGGGTATACCATGGAGGCTTGAAGCTGGGACCGTAACAGTATAATTTCATGTAATAACAACCTTTAAAGTCAGTTATGTCAGGTATTTTACCAGTCATGATACTCCAAGTTATGGTTTTTAAAGCTCAAGATCAGTTATTTATTCAGTAATTGCGGGACCAGTTGTCACTGAAGCAGCCCTATATAGTACATAGTCATGAGTCAATGTTCATGAGTTTAAGGTCGACGTATAATAGTTACTAAGCCGGGTTAAATATGGAGGTCTGATATACAGATCATTGGTCCAAAATTTACCTGGAAACTTGAAGTCGCACCTTATTAAGCCACAGTAAGTCAATAAATGCCATGTTCCAAATTCCGAGATGACCATTTAATTGTCTCGAGATAGCTTCCAGGGTTCAAGTAAGGGTTATATAGTCATGTAAAAGTCAAGTCAAGATAATCCAGTTATGTGAATATTAAGGCTAGTCATGTCAAAGTCGAGGATGGCCTGTCTAATAAGACACGACTTATCAGTCATTTCAAGTATGCTCATTGCCTCGATTCTCAAATTCTGAAAACTTGAGAAATCGCAGGAAAGATTAGTTCATGATAGATTTTTCTTGAGGTTAATTTTGGCCTCAGGGAAGGTAAAGAATTGCAGGTACAACAGAGAAGGGTCAATCAACAACCTTAACAACCAATGCCGCAGAGACAACTGGAGCCTTCCATTCAAGGACGCATGTCGTAAGAATAGAAAGATGTCATGCCTAAGTCACAGTACGCCGGAAGATCACGGAGGGTTAGCATTATAATACATTGAGGTTACTAGCTTGAGATACAGATATGACCAGTTATACAGACTACGTCGACATCGCAGGTGCAATGTTCGCCAGGTGCTGCATACAGGTGTGCCGCACTCACTAGATGAGGAGCGGGCGTGCCGCGGACGATGTGCCGCGTTATCGAGTAGATGTTCACGACATGTAGTTACTGAGATTGCTAGTTGTCCTCAATTGTACATATGCGTATCTCTAAAGTCTTCCATGTGTACCAAAGACTTTGGTTTCACACATAACGTCCAGACTGAGGATCAGCAATCAGCTAAGAGGCGACGACCAGTGCGCTTAAGAGATATGCTTTTAATTTAATCAATGAGACACTTTTCTTTAGAAAAGTGCCCATGTTCAGCCAGTATTGATCAACAATTCACTTAATTGTGAATTGATGATTCTCCAGTTAAGATCAAGTCTATTGTTCAGTATTAAAATACTGAATTCTCAAGTTATGTCATCGGTAAGTATAATCATTATGTTAAGCTTGTACATTCCAGTTTTAGTATTTCTGAGGACGGAAATATTTTAAGGAGAGTGGATTGTAACGCCCCGTATTTTATTAATAAAGGAAAGATACTAGCTTTTAAATATAAGCTAGCCTTTGTTAATAAATATTCATGTTAACGTTCAAGTCTAAGTTATTCAGTCAATTAAATTCCAAGTTCGACGTTAAGTCGAAAATATCTCCGGTTAATTTTATTTATTAACCGAGTCAATGATAGTAATTAATCTTAGTCCATTTATTTAATAAATAGACATCAGCGAGTTGGGATTAATTAATTCAGTATTGACTTATTAATTGAATTTGTGAATCTTCGATTAATCGTAAAGTCGAGTTCAAGCCAGTTATTAAAATCAGTTAAAGTTCGACTATTAGTCGATAAAGTATTTGGTTTAATTATTTCTGTAACCGGACAAGTTTTCAGATTTAATTCCCATTCATGTTTATAATGAATGAGTTTGTAATTAATAAGTTATGTCAAGGTAATATTCGAATTTATTTTCGAAGTCAAGTTCCGACCGAAATTATATAAATTCGGTCAAAATAATTCAAGCCTAGCTAAGTGTATACTTGATAATTTTCTAAGTAATATAATAGTATTAAGTAAAGTTGTTGGATTAATTTCCTAGTTCAAAGCCTTATGCCGTGTATCATATATATACAATGTAATTAATGCCAAGCATTAATATGTGAATTTAATTATTCCTAAAATCCTTATTAGTTTTTATGGTTCGGAATATAAGAGTAAAGGATAGTAAGACACCTAAGTGCATGAATAAGCTATATGCTTAAGCACTTAGGTGAACACGTGCCTTTACCAAAATTAAACTTAAGGGAACACTTGTTCACTTCATCTTTAATCCTATTATGTATACATATATGACGGGATTTAGTGGAGTTTTACTCAATTCACTTGAATATACAATACTTCCTAAGCTATAGCCGAGAAAATAAAGAGGGTACCGAGTATAGCTAGCTCCGGTATATTAGGTGTAAATGAGAAAGGTTTAAAGAAGAAGGAAGTTAGCTCGTGCAAGTCCATTGTCGGAAAGCCGAGCACGCACATCAATCACGCGAGCGAGCGCAC